AAAAAAGAAAGGAGATAGCACTTTCATAGTGTCCTAACATGCTAACAGGCATCCCTGGTTTGTTCCTTGGCATTACCTAACTGCATCCGGTTGTACGGATGGGCCACTTCGTCTGCATTTACCCAGCGAGGAACATTTGGGCTGTTTCCACTTGACAGACATCACAGAGACTGCCGCTGGGAACACTGCACAAGTCATTGTGTGGAAATGTCTTCATTCTCTCAGATATGGAATTCAGAGTGGAATCTAGTGGTCATATGCCAAAATAAGTACTATTTTCTTTTTTTATGAGACAGGATCTTGCTATGTAGCGCAGGCTGGCCTTGAACTCCCTTATGTATCTCAGGCTGCCTCAAACTCATGGCAATCCTCCTGCCTCAGCCTCCGGAGTCCTGTGATTACAAGCATATGCCACCAGCCTGGCAATAAGTATTACTTTAATGCAGTATTTTTAAATATAAAAATTACTGTAAAATCTACGATGAGCAAGATACCAACATTTTAAGTTAACATAGGCTTATTGAGCAACAGGCAGGACTGATCACTTGTAATCAGTGCTTTCTGAGCCCTGATCTGTTTTTATGAGTGCTGTTGATGATATGCAGACAAATTGGTAACACCAGGCTTTATCTACTGTGGGTTTTTTTTAATTGTACAGCATTCTTTTTTTTTTCCCCACAGGGTGCAACATATGGGAGGATATTTTGGTAAATGTCTCTACAGATATTTATCTTCTAATGCAGCCAGGCATGGTGGCACACACCTGTGATACCAGCACTCGGGAGGTTGAGGCAGGAGGATTGTTGTGAGTTCGAGATCAGCCTGGGCTACAAAGTGAGCTCAAAGCCAGCCTGAACTACATAGTGAGACCCTGTCTCAAAAAGACCAAAAAAAGAAGAAAGATATTTATCTTCTATCAGACGTAGACATGGTGCTGTAATCCTACCACTGAGGGAAGCCAAAGCAGGAAGATTGCAAGTTCAACTCCTGCCTGAGCAATTTAGCAACTTAACAAGACCGTGTTTCAAAATAAGGGCTGGGGATGTAGCTCAGCGGTAGAGCACCCCTTGGTTTGATCTGCAGTACTACCAAAAAAAAAATCTGCAAAAGCGCTTTTTCCTTTTGTCGGGCCTCAGTATGTCAACAATGCACCAACTACTCGTGTCATTTCATTTAACCCCTGGCTGCTTATTCTCCAAACTCTCTACCAAGGTTAGAGGAGCCTTTCTGCCCTGGCCCTTTTTTATTTTGAAACAAGGTCTCACTGAGTCACTAAATTGTCCAGGCTGGGCTCCAACTTGCAATCTTCCTGCCTCAGCCTCTCAGAGTGCTAGAATTATAGGTGTGTGCCACCTGTAATGTATATGATGTATGTAAACACCACACCCAGCCTGATGTTTATATTTTTATTTAGATTTTCCCCTTTTATCAGGTATATTCCCCAGTGGCCACTACACCCTTTGTAAAACTGTCTAGTGGGAATAAACTTCTTGAAAGAACTGAATTGCTGGCCAGTGCTGGGCTGTTAGTCCACCCGGGACACACAGGGTTGAAACTGCACTGCCTCAGACCCCCGTGGGGTCCCACACAGACCTGGTGGCCTCCAGCTGAGTCCAGCCTGAGCCCTGTGTTAGGACTGAGAAGCTGGGCTGGGGACCCCCTGTGCAGGCTGCCCGGCCAGGCTTCCTGTCCCCATGTGCTCACGAGGGAGGCCAGGGTACTGAGGAGGACATAAGCCGTGTTGTCCCTGTTGGAATTTGTCCCCTTTGGTTCTGCGTTGTCACAGGTGGTCTTCAAAGCCACCCACAGACAAAGTGGGCTGGACTTAGGGCCCTCCAGTGCCTTTCTCCCTGCCCTCTGCCTGTCTCAGTGGCACATCTGCTGCTGTCAGGGTCCCCTGAGCCTGTGAGCCTCTCCCCCAAAGGCAGAGACACGAGCTGTTCTCCAGCTGTCTTCAGGCAAGCCAACCCAGAAAGGCTGAACCCCACAGGGTGAAGGTGTGCTGGTGGGACTGCAGGCGATCAGTGTGCTCAGAAAGAGCTTTCTATTTTGTTGCTGGGCAGAGAGGTGTGGGTAAGGGCACAGGGAACCTGCGCAGAAGGCAGGGCTGTGCGGCAGCCAGTGGCTCTAGGCAGGCCTGTGAATCAGTGTGACATGAATTTGGTGGCCAAGAGCAGCCGGGGTGGGACCACCATCCTTGTCCTGAGAATCCTGGCAGAGTGGGAATGGTCTTCTCCCAGCGTGACCACCCAGCTTGGAAGAGCACAGCCCCTCGCTGGACAGGGGTGGGCTCCCACGGAGAGCCTGGCAGAAGCTCACTGCTGTCTCCTCGCTCCTCCTCCTAGGGAAGCCCTACGGGGCCGACGACTTCCTGCCTGTGCTCATGTACGTGCTGGCCCGCAGCAACCTGACAGAGATGCTTCTGGACGTGGAGTACATGATGGAGCTCATGGACCCGGCCCTGCAGCTCGGAGAGGGTGAGTCTCCATCCCGCTGTCTCACACCGCAAACCAGGTAGCCCGGCAGCCACTTCAGCGCCCATTCGGGCCGCACCCTGGTGACATGAATGAGCCTGGGAACCCTATGCGTGCCCTGCCTCGGGGAGCTCACAGACCCAGAGCACGGCAGGAAGAGGGGATGTCACCACTGCTCCACCAGAGTGGGAAAGGTGGGGAGCCCAAAGGGAAAGGGGTAGGTCACCCAGCCGGCACCTTGGGAGGGGGCTTCCCAGAGGAGGTGGCACAAGGCTGACAGTAAGGGTGAACAGGAGCCTGCAGGTAAAGAAGAGGAAGCATTTTTCCTAGAGAGAACAGCTGCAGCTGGCAGCCTGAGATGAAGGGCTGGAGTGGTAATCAGTTCTCAGACAGGGGCCCCCGGGCAGGGCACCAGCACCTGCTCATCCGGCCCTGGCCTTTGGTGGGAGGAGGTTACGGGGTGAAGGGGCCGTGGCTCCCAGGAAGATAAGGGAGGGGAAGTTGCTGCACCCACCCTCGGTTTCCCTTCCCCTGTCCTCCTTCCCAGCACTTCCTCCGCCCACTGAGGCCGGCCACCCCTCCACCAAGACTCCCTGACGTGCTGCTGACCCTCCTCGGCCCTGAGGGCGCCCTCTGAGACCTCAGTCTTGAGGAATGGAGCAAGACTCCCAGGCCCTGAGTGGCCCCTTTGGGGCTTTTTGGTTCTCAAAAGTAGCTGACCATCTTTGCATGGGTTTGCATTTTTAATATGTGCCAGAATCCACGGGAAACGTCTAATGTAAATGATTCTGTGAGTTGTGGTTTTTGTTTTTGTTTTTGTTTTGTTTTTTGAGACAGGGTCTCACTCTGTAATTCAGGCTGGCCTTGAACTCACTATGTAGCCTGGGCTGGCCTGGAATTTGCAGAAATCCTCTTGTCTCAGCCTCTGAAGTGCTGGGATTATAGGCATACACCACCATGCCCAGCTGATTCTGTGAGTTCTGGACAGCTCATGGGAGTGTCAAAGCCATGAACTTTGTTGTCATAGGTAGCTTGGCCTATGGCTCCAAAAACCTGGGAATTTCTGTTTTGTTCTCTAATTAAATATTTCCTAAAGTTGTAAGAACTTATCTTCCAGGACTAAGAGGTCTGGGAATTCAGGAGAAGCCAAACTTCTTTAAGCCAGTTATCCACCCAGCCATCTGCTCATCCATCCCACTCATCTATTCTCTCATCCATCCATCCACCCATTCATCCATCCCATCCATCCATCCACCCATTCATCCATTCTCCCATTCATCCATCTATCCATCTATCCATTCATCCATCCATCCATCCATTCATCCATCCCATCCATCCATCCATCCACCCATTCATCCATTCCCCCATCCATCCATCCACCCATTCATCCATTCTCCCATCCATCCATCCACCCATTCATCCATTCTCCCATTCATCCATCTATCCATCTATCCATTCATCCATCCATCCATCCACCCACTCATCCATTCTCCCATCTATCCATCCATTCATTCATTCTTCCATCCACTCATCCATCTATCCATTTGCCCACTCATCTACTCATCCACCAATCCATCCACCTACGTATTTGTCCATCCATCCACTAATTTATTCATCCACCCTCTCATCCATCCATCCATTCGCCAGTCCATCCATGCATCCACACACCAGTCCATCCACCAATCAACCACTGACCCCACCATTGCCCCTTCCAGACCCTGGCTGCAGTGTAGGGCAAAGCATGTAAGACCAACAGCCGCATGAGAATGAGTGAGCACCTCACCCAACACCCTGCACTTTGGGCCTTCACCTCCTGGACTTCCTCTTAGGTTTTACTGCCCCAGAACATGCACCTGACAGCACCCAGAGGTTGAGGAGGTGGGCAGAGGCCTCCAAGCCCACTGACCTGTCTGGAACAAACCCCACCAGCCTGAGGGAAAAGAACAGAAGAGGGGGAGGCAGCAAGGAACAGGTTCTGTGAGCCTTTCTCCCCAAACCCAAGCACCCTGTTCCCTAGGATTTGTCCCAGAGAGGGACAGCAACTGCCCAGCGCCTCACAGGAATCTTCACTGTGGTGTTGGGGCTGCCCTTCATGTAGCCTCTAAAGGTTAAGTTTTCCATGTCGAAAATGACCATAAAGAGAAGATACAGACAGTAAACCAAGAGTGCTCCTGCTAGTCAGTACACCAAAGTAACAGCCTCAATATGTAAAAGGCTTTTATTCATCAATAAGAGAAGCACTACTCATCCACCTTGCATTAAGTAATAGTTTCCTGGGTTGGAGCCGCTTCCTCTCAGTCAGCAGCACTGAGCTATTTCAGGGCGGGTAGCAGGGAAGTTTTTCATGGAGTTTCCTTCCATTGGGAATCTGTTTCCTTCCATCAGCAGATTTTTAGAAAGCAAGCAAATAAGATAATTTCACATCTAGCCAAGTGATCCCAGCACTCAGGAGGCTGAGGCAGAAAGATCACAAGCTCCAGGCCAGCCTGGGCTACACAGGGCATTAGATGACAGCCTGGGCTATATAGCAAAACCTTGTCTTGAGAAAAATTTTAAAAAGAAAGGGTACTTTCACATCGAGTCGCCTGTGATGGATGCTGAGAATGAAGTAGGCTTGGGGCTGGAGAGGTTGCGCAGGAGGGGACCCAGTGCCTGAGGACAGCCCTGAGCACGGAGCAGTCGGCAGCTTCTCTTTACTTCTGCTGTTTGGTGCATTTCTCACAGTGGCCATGCGCTGCTGATGTACCTGGACAGAGAGCATTAAAGCCCCACCCCAGAATGGCACCAGCCTTCCAGGGTTGTGAGGTCAGAGAGGCCAGGGGGAGGGTTCTGCCGCGTCCGCGTGTCGGCTCGGCCTGGGCAGCAGTGACTGCTGTGATTCCCACCTCATTCTCAGTCTGTGCTTCCTGGTTCCCACTCGGAACCAAAGACGTCGTGGTTGAGGGACAAGCAGTGCTGCTCTGCAGTCTGAGCAGTGCACCGGGACTAGAAACTCAGCCCCTGCAAAAATTAGAGGAACAAAGGTTAACGAAAAGAATACATTTTATTTGTAAAGAGGAAAAGGAAGGCGGCGGGGAAAAGACAGATAGCCACCCTGACAAGAATCGGGTGCGGGGGCTCTGAAAAGATGAAAGGCCCATGGGCCCTTTGTTCTCAGCTGCTTTTATAGGGGGCGTCAAGGACCCTTCTCCCCCCAGAACTTGCCACAAATGGGTTGGCTTCTGGGCACCTCTGCCTATATCATCTCTTCTGGTGGTCCATGTGTAGCTTCTTTCTGTCCTTTACTTGTCAGTCTTATTTTTCTCATTGCTGAGACAAAATACCCAACACCCAAAAGTAAAGGAGGAATTTATTTAGCTCATATTTTGTAAAAGTTTCAGTCTATAATCAGCTGGCTGCAAGGCAGGGTGGCATGGCAAACAGGCATCACAGAGGAGAAATAGTTCCTGGTGGGCAGAAGGTCGCAAAGCAACAAGGGACAACCACAGCTCCTTCTACCCCTTATATCTTATCCAGGCTACTTAGGGCGGGCAGCACTCACACCCTTAATCCTAGTGCCCTTGAGCCTAGCGCTGCACCTTGAATCAATCACACACTCTAGATCCAGCCGCCTCTGAAAAAGCCCCACCCATGACCAAATGAGGTTTTGTGGGGGACATCTAAGCACGAGAGATAACATTGTCCTCAACCTACTTTTCAGGGCCTTATCTTTGGGGTAGGCAGCTAACTGGCAAGGGGTACCTTATTCATGGTTAGCTTAGAGTTAGTAAAGGGCATGTGGATGTCTACTGTAGCCGAGAGTGGGTAATATAGTGATCCTTGAGTAAATATGAAAATATGTATGTTCGTGCATAGGTGTGAGTATGTAAGAGCTTCCCCTGGTCTCTCTCTCTCACACACACACACACACACACACACACCCCGACTCCTGCTTCCCGGCTTATCTACAGGAGGTGGTAGGGGTGACCGTTTCAGCTCCTCGGCTTCGTGCACTTGGCCTTCTCTATGCTCTGCCTGTCCACTCTTTCTCCCTCTGGCGAGCTACAACACCACCCCCCTATGCTACCTTGGTGCCTTCTCCCTATCTGTTTTTTCTCTTTCTCTACCCCCTATCCTTGACCTATTTCCTGGAATTTCTCTAGTAAGTTTGTTTTTAACTCCTTCTAGTCAGAATTAGAAAGAAGACCTAATGATCTTCTGTTCTATTTTTTTCCCCGGCTCTGCAAATCCTGGCACCTGAACCAGGCTCAGGCCAGGCATGTGGCTGAGCAGGGACAGGGCAGGGCCTGCACCCCTCCCCAATCCTGTGCTGGCCTCCTGGGTTCTTCCCTCCTGTTCCCAGCAGCCCAGGAGGCTTACGTGGGACAGGCGAGGGCCTTCAGGAGAAGACCAGTCTATTCTGGCCCACTTCCGGTATTTCTGAGACAGCCAAGGGGTTCACAGGCCTGACCCCAGGCTGCCGAAAGCCCCTGCTTATCACCCGCCTTGTCACCCAGCTTGTCAGACCTGGGGCCCTGCACACAGCAAGTATTTGCCAGGCAAAGGTGCAGGCGGACATGGGCTCACCGTGCCCCTGCATCTCTCGCTTCCATAGCCCTAGCCTCCCCAAGCAGTACCAGCCCCGTTCACAGTGGCCCCGAGCACCAGAGGCCAGAGTTGAGGGAGGCAGAGCTGCACACACCAGGAGAGGAGTGGGCAGCACTGGGGTCCGGACCCCTCTCGCTGCCCCGTCTAAATCTAGTGGCGCCTCACAGTCCTTGCCCTGCAGCTCCAAGATGGCCTTGGGGGCCTCCTTTGGGAGAGAAGGCCTTGGGCAACTAACAGGGAAGGTGGAGTGAAAAGGGCACTCTGCAGCCTGGACCGGGGCCCCGGTTCTACTCTGACCTCCTGGAGACCTCGGGCCACTTGCCTGCCCTTTCTGGCTGGGGGAAGTAAAGGTGCTAGGTGTGATCCCGGTTCTCAGACTATCTGTGCCCTCCACCTTATTTGCTGGGGTAGGTGGGTGCTAGTCCATTTAGGCTGCACGGACAGGGTACTGTACCCTGGGTAACTGTGAACCACAGGAATTTATTCTTAGTTCTAGAAGCTAGAAATTCCAAGACCAAAGTACTGGCCGAGTCCATGTCTAGTGAGGGCCTGGCCCTCGTGGGTGGCGTCTTCTCACTGTGTCCTCACATGGTGAAAGGGACTCAGCAGCTCTCTGGGGCCTCTTTTACCAGGGCACTAATCCCACTCCTGAGGGCTCCACCCTCCAGATCTAGTCACCTCCCAAAGCCCCACCTGGTACCAGCCCTTGGGCTTAGGACTTGGGCATAGGGATTCTGAATTCAGACCACAGCACTAAGAGGCAGCATGACAGCTGGAGTCCATCTGCCTTCCCGCTTCCCAGTCCACGTGAATAACTGCTCTGTGTTCCACAAAAAGCCCACAAGCTGGTTCCCTGTGCTCTCGGCCCTTTGTGATCTTCCAAGACTATGCCAGGCTACCATTTTTTTTTTTTTGTAATTTTTTTGTTTTGTTTTGTTTTTCTTCCAGTACCAGGAATCAAACTCATGACCTTGTGCTTGCCCGGCAGGCGCTGTGCCGCTGAGCTAAATCCCCGGCCCCAGGCTACCATTCTAATAGGAGCAATGACCTCCAGTCAATGAATAGAGCAAGTCTCCAAACTCTTAGTGGTGTTGCCCGCCACCTAGCGGTTCTAAAAGGCACTGCATGTCCCCAGGCAAAGGGAAGTCGCTAAGACCCCAGACCCCCGTGAGCAAGCAAGAAGGTTGGGCAAGGCCAGGAGCTGCTCTCCTTTTCACCCAAGAGGGTGAGGAGCTTTCGGAACACCTCCTATAAGTCACATAACGACCACTCATTACCCTCATATTGCTGTGCCCTGCACCTTACCTGGGTTCAACCTATTTACTTTTCACACGGGGAGATTTGCAGATGAGGAAACCGAGGCATAGAGAGGAGAGTAGCTGAGTGGCTCGGCGCAGCCACAGGGCTGCCTGCTGCAGGGTGAAGGCTGGGGCTGCTTTTGGAAAGGGACGTTCTCCACCAGTACACTGCACTGCCCGGCACAGCTCCTGGCCACTCCGGCTTTGAGCTCAACTCATTGACATTGAAGACACTAAAAAAAAAAGAAAAGACTTCTGTGAAGAGCTGTTTTTTCTCTTGAGAAGATATAACAACTTCTCTAGTATCTTTTGACAAATGGAAATTGACAGAACAGAAATGTTTAACTTAAAGCGTGGCTTTCTGAAGTAGAAAACCAGTTGGGCATGGTGGCATATGCCTGTAATCCCAGCTACTCTGCGGGCTGAGGAGAGAGGGTCAAAAGTTCGAGGCGGCCTTGGCAACTTAGCAAAAACTTGTCTCAAAATAAAAAAAATCAGAGGAGTGCTGGGAGGGCTGGACGTGGTGGTGCACACCTGGAATCCCAGCACTGGGGAGACTGAGGAAGGAGACCGTGAATTTGAGGCTGGCTTGAACTACATAGCAAGACTGTCTCAACATAAATAAGATAAAATAAAATAGCCTCAGTGATACAACAAAAAAAAAAAACAGGGAAGGACATGAGTGATTTAGTGGCTCTTCTCTGCTTAGGGATGTGACACCAATTTCCATGTTCGCCTTGTTACTCTTATTTTTAAAAATGTCTCGGCCCTGCACTGACATGAGAGGGCAGGTGACCCTGCAGCCATCAAAAGCTCTATCTTACCCCCAGCCTCCTGAGATCATTACCCCTCCTGGCTGTGGCATCTGTGGGACTAGGCAGGCAGCTTCATCCACTGTAGCAGGAATGCTCTGGGTTGCAGGTAAGCACAGTGTAACTAACAGTGGCTCGGATCTGAGCCAGGGACTGGCTTGTTTCTTCCATCAAGAAGACCAGCTTGAAGTGTTGCCTTCAGGTAATCACGGATCTGGCTCTTTGCTTCTCTCCTTAGTCCATGAGCCTTTGGCTTTGTAATTGACCCCTCATATCGGGTTAATAATATCCCTTAGTTATTTCGGGCTGATCAGGTCCACAGTCTCCTGAATGGCGAAGGCTAACTAGAAAGACACAAATGGAATGATTTCAGGGCTCCAGGAGGACCAAAGCCCTCTCACAGAATTTGAGATTCTGTAAGACCAAGACCTTCTCTGGGTGGCCCATATTTATTTGGTTATCAGAAGAAGGGAGGGGAATACTCAAGAAGGGCAGAATTACTCAAGGACTTCTCCAAATAAGGTATTAAATTAATCCTTAATAAGGATTAAGTTAATCTACCCAGAAGTGAGATGCCTGAGGCTATAGTCTTTATCTAGTTGAGACGGGATCCAGGTGTCCTTGGCTGTGATCTTATCTTATCCTTTGAGGCTTTCTGGCTTCATCCATCATTACAGGTTTTAGGAGGGATCAGTGACTCACAGAGATTCACTTACTATGAGTCTGTCACCCACTTCCAGATAAGCGGCCTAGGTTTTGGACAGATTCACAAGTAAACATAAAAAGCCAATTGGTTAATTTAAGTCCTGCTCCAGGCTGCTTCATAGTGGTCTCCATCACCCTCTGATCACAAGACTGTGCCTCTGGGCTCATCTCTGCATTCCAGGCAGGAGGAAAGCGGCCAGGCAAAGCTCAAAAGCATATATCAAGTCTGTCCCTTGCAAAAGGCCCCACCCAGAGTTTCCATTTACATCCAGAGAGCCGGAACAAGGTCCCCTGCCCTGTCCTCCCGAGGAGTCTGGAAGTGAATACTTTCAGCCCAGTGTTACTTCCCCAAGTGGCAGCGGTGTTCATTCAGTGAGGAAGGGAAGGTGGGATGTGGGTGGGCCCCTGGCAGATCTCCTCATGTCAAAAATCACTGACCCGGCCCTTAAGGCAAAAGGAGAAATGACTGGCAAGGGGTAGAGAAACCCAAGGAAGCAGCCCCAGAGAAGCAGGCAGTACTAGAGGTCAGAGAGAGCAAAGCGCAGGGTGCTTCTTCTCCCTGGGCACCCTGCGCACTGTGTGACCTCAGCCAAGTCACTGCATTTTCTATCTAGAATTTGGTTTCTTGTTTAAAGTGAGGGACTCAGCAGCCCTAGGACCTCTCAGCCTTTTTAACCAAAGCCCCTAACAAGCTAAGAGCTCGGAATGAAGCATCCTTGCAAAATACAGTCTTTTACCTTAAGACCACAGGTGAATTTTGCAGTTCAAACTATGTTGACGCTTCAATGATTTCAGGCAACATGAGGGACAAAGAATATGCATGAATTAACTAAGAAGATAAAAAGAAATGGAAACCTGAATAATTCCAAGTTTTACTTATTTAAATCTTTAAAAACATCATGTCATAATTAAAATTTCCTTTACATCTTTTAAAATTGTTTTTAGAACAGATAACGTATTCAAATGGCTCAAAATTTTAAGGCACATATTGTGTATGATACCCAGTCAGAAGTCTCTGGCCCGCCCTGCCTCCCAGCCACCCCTTGCTCCACCCTGGAAGCATCCATATTTCTGTTTCCTTTAAATTGTAAAATATTTTAAAACATCATTTAAAAAATAAGCCAGTGTTTCATGGCAAAGGGGAGCCAGTGAGACGTTCTGGGCGGGGCTGGATATTAGGGGGCTCAAGGCTTTGGGGAGGGCAAAGGGATGAGGCCAGCCTTTGACGGGTGACTGCCAGGAAGGTGTCCCCTCTAACAAACACCCTGTCCAGGGAGGGTGGTGGGTGGAGCTCGAAGGAGGTGGGCGTGGCCTCGAGTAGGTGGGCAGAGTTTGTGGGGGGCCAGGCCAGCTTGGACCAGCCCCTCCCTTTGGGGGGTGGGTCAAGGCAGTCCTGGCTCAACCCCACCCCTTTGACTCCCTGCAGGCTCCTACTATCTGACCACCACCTATGGGGCCCTGGAGCACATCAAGAACTATGACAAGATCACAGTGACCCGGCAGCTGAGTGTGGAGGTGCAGGACTCCATCCACCGCTGGGAGCGAAGGCGCACGCTCAACAAGGCCCGGGCCTCACGCTCTTCGGTGCAGGTGCGCTGGGCACGGCTGGGGGAAGGGAGTTCCAGAAGGGTACCCCCCAGATGTCAGGGGTCTGGTCGGGTAGACAAGCTGGCTGCGGAGGACAGAAGTTTGTCCAGCACTCCTTCGCACCTGCGGCGCCCCCGCGCCCTGCCAGGGCTGCCGCTGTTGAGATCCCCGGTGTTGCCCTTGGATCCCTGGACAGATGCTTCCGGGCCGGCCAAGGGCCCTGCACCTCTCTCAGTACAGCTGTGATCCAGGCCTCCAGGGAAGACTCCTGCCTCCCCCGGCACTCCCACATCGCACACACCCCAGGTGCACCGGATCCAGCCACCCACAGTTCCTGAAGCGAGCTGAGCTCCGCCCCCTGGTTCCTCAGCCTCCACCCAGGCTGGCCTCTTGCCCTTCCTTCAGCAGCAGCCCCCTCTGAGGAGCCTTCCGGACAGCCGCTTGCCCATCCCTCACATACACAGGAGGGTAGTCCCCTCCTTTGTGCTTTCCCATTATATTATGGACCACAATATGCTGTACCCTCCAGAAGGGCGGCGTCCATGGCTCATGTCTCAGGGGTGTGGAGCGTAGAAGGAATTAGGCCAGTGGGCCAGACAGACAGCCCTTGCCCTGGCACCCAGAGCACACCGGTCCTGAACCCCACTCTTGGCTTTCCAGATGGCCCGTCTATAACTTAAAGAGCCGAGGCGTAGGAGGCAGGGGCTCAGGTTGTGGACCTAGCTCTGGTCTAGCTTGCTGCGTGACCCTGAGCAATCCCCAGCTCTCTCCAGGATTCAGTTTCCATAGGAGCAGGCCAACTGGGAAGCAGATGTTCAAGGCCGCCAGGCGGATGTCCCTGCCCCTCCTCTCATCAGCAGCATCCTGAAATTGCCTGTGTGGGGAGGGGGAAAGCTCTGACTGGAGCTGTGGGTCTCCGTGTTGGGAGTACTTACACCCATTCCTGTTCAGTCCCTGAGTTTGGATCTGGAAGGAGACGCACGCCATTGGCTCTCCCAGGCTGGCATGAGCGAGCTGCAGCCCACCGCTGTGCCCTGCCCCCTCCCGGCAACCTGTTCCCCGCCAGCTCTGGGGATGTGGACTTTCTGGTCTGAGCCCGGCCCAGCAGCCTCTTTCTTGCTTCTGCCCCGTGGTTTCCAATGCTGAACGAGGCAGAGCGTCGATGAGCTGCACCCGCAACCCTGGGAAGACAGAAGCTTGGGAGAGGCCTGCGATGGGAACCCCGCAGTCCGTTGCTAGGATCTGCCCCTCCTGGCACTGCCTCTGCGCCCCATGCCTCACATCCCTTTGCGGGCAGCTAGAGCCCAGAGCCCAGCAGTGGGCAGTGTGAGTAAAGGTCCCCAGAGACGCCTGCGGGGGCCAACGAGCGCCCAGGCAGCCACCAAGACCCCGAGAGAAGGGAGCTTGGGCCTTCCCTCCGGGAAGAAAGGCAGGAACCTGAAGCACTCAGTACTCCGCAGCCAGCAGGGTCTCCACTCCGCTGGGGGGCGCTGTCACCGTGGTGTAAGTGCTGTGGAGCCGTCTGCTTGCTGTTACCACTCTGTCCAACAGGGGGCAGCTCCGCATTCGTGCTCTCGGATGCCTGCGGAGAGAAACCGGCTCGGCTCCGGCTGGCCTTACCTGCTCCCCACAGCCGTGACGTCAGCACCGCTGTGATCCTCAGTTTACAGCTGAGGGAGCAGCGGCTGGGAGAGGTCACAGTCACGCAGTCAGTAGGCGCAGACTCAAAGGCACGAAGGTCATGGGATGCAGGGGCCGCATCCTCCTCTTTCCAGGGCTGGTGGAAGTGATTGGGGTGTACACGTGCGTGTGTGTGTGTCTACCCTGCTCACGCGGTGTCCCAGTCCTAAACAGAGTGCTTACCCCAGCCCTCCTCCCCTAGTCCAACCCCACCCCCAACTCTCCACTCCCCGCCCTGCCCCTGAGCCCTGCAGGCAGTTCCAGCCTAGGGGTCTGAACTGTGGGGTACTGGGGGTGGACTCTGCACCTCTGATTCTAAATACACCTCCACCCCACTACCACACCCCACGCCACCCCACGTTCACCTGGGGTGCCGAGGACCCATTGAGGAGGTCAGGAAGGGAGCGAGCGAGGGCAGCCTCTATGTTGGCCACCAGGGGGCGCTCTGGCTCCCGACTGCCCGACTCCGAAGGGACTGAATTAATGGGAAGGGCGACGAGCCTCCGACAGCGCAGGGTCACCCCGGCTCGGCCGCCCCAGCTTCACGCGCGCGTGACCGCAGGCGCCCGTCTCGCCCGCAGGACTTCATCTGCGTGTCGTACCTGGAGCCCGAGCAGCAGGCGCGGACGCTGGCGTCGCGCGCGGACACGGCGGCGCAGGCGCTGTGCGCGCAGTGCGCGGAGAAGTTCGAGGTGGCGCGGCCGCAGGACCACCGGCTCTTCGTGCTGGTGGACGGGCGCTGCTTCCAGCTGGCCGACGACGCGCTGCCGCACCGCATCAAGGGCTACCTGCTGCGCAGCGAGCCCAAGCGCGACTTCCACTTCGTGTACCGGCCCCTGGGCGAGGGCGCGGGCGGCGGCCCGCCCTGCCTGGTGGTGCGGGAACCCAACTTCTTGTGAGGCGAGCGGCGGCCGCGGCCTGATGAGGACGAGAAGGGCCGGGCTGGGGACGGAGCTCCCCGGCACCCACCGGGTCGGGCGCTCGCCCCCATCTGATCGTACGCACGCGTATGCACATTCCCAGCCAAGCCCATATGTCACACGTGCGTGCCAACCCAAGGCAGGATAACTGTGCAAACGTGAAGCCAAAGGCACTTCGTGAGACGGGAGACCATACCCTTCATTGGACAGAAAGGGAAACTGAGGCTCCAGGAGGGAAGCGGCTCTGCAGCCCCCTGCAGCCAACAAGCCGCCCCCTGCGCATGCGCGGCGTCTCAGGCCAGACCCTCTTCCTCCACCGCTCGCCCTGTCCTTGGTCTTGGCAGCGGAAGCCTGAGCTCAGTTTCCCCGAGACTGGCCGGGGAAGGGGCGCCTGGCCACTGCCGCACCCTGTGCCCCTCAGGGTGGAGCTGGGATGTTTTGCGCCGCCCAGCATCTCAGGGACATCTCTCAGGGTGTTGAGCAGGGCCCGCCCCAGCCCAGACCCTGCTCTCAGCCTGCAGTGCCCAGTGTCCCCCGCGGCCTGAGCCCTGCCGGACCTCCAGGCCAGGCCAGCTCCGCGGATGCAGGGAGGAGCCCACTTCCGCCTCAGGGGAGAACTGACAGGGCCCTTCCTGGGCGGATACATGATTGTTGCAAGAGGCTCTGTGGGGGCTGTGTAATAAAAACCCTTTGGGGAAAATGGCGCTTCCTTCTCTGAAGGGACTCACTAGCCCAGCCCTGTCCACAGCCTGACCCCGGCCGGGGGCCGTTCAGAGGACCCTCCTCGACACTGCGGACCCTTTCCAGTGCCAGGGCCTGCAGGGCACTCAGCCACCCACAGCGCACCAACTCAGGCCCTGACCCTCAGCATGGGTATCTTTTGCATGCCCTCCATTCCAAGTCATTCCGAGCTCTGAGTCACTTCCTGAACCAACTCTTACCTTTGTCTCTGCTATTCTCCCAGGAATACCATTCCCTGTGAGCTTCACCTGGTCAACTCCTATGCATGCTTCAAAGCCCATTTCCCCAGGAAGCCTTCCTTGACTCCCCAGGTTGGACCAGGCAGCCCTTATCCATGTCCCCACAGCCCCCTGGGCTTCTCTCCCTCATAAGACATATATCTCACTTCTTTCAATAGATCTGGATGATTTGTATTTGTGTCCTTGACATGGACTAATTAAACTAAGGAGTGCTACTAAATGTCAGCTCTCTTCTAGCTCCTTGGGACACAGAGAAGGTGTAGAGCCCCAGTGTGATTAAACCCCCTGATCACTCAGCGAGTCAGCAGGTGCAGCCCAGCCCTCGGGGTTGGTGACCCCACCACCTGCCCAATGCCACACTGTCCTCTTCCGCACCTCCACCATGCCACTGAGGTGGGGAAGGGCTGCCCAGTCTCATGCCCCAGCTGGAGCCCACTGCCCGCTGCCTCTGCCGGGCCTGGGCGGTGTGGAGGAGACCAGAGAGGCCCTCATCTGCCCAAATGTGGTAAGACTGGGGTTCAGAGAGTCTCGTGCCTGGCTCCTGGGAAGGGGCCAGCGCCAGTGGGCTGGACCGAGGGAGCCGCTGAAAGAAGATTGTGTGCACTCCCGTGCCCACGGCTGGAGTCTCCCATCAGAAGCTTCTGGCATTAATCCGCACAACAGTGTCTAGGGGAGGGATGGAGCAAGGGGACATGGGGACACAAGGACTCAAAGAAA